CTGGTCCGCGGCTCCGCCGGCGTCCGACAGCCGCTCCCAGCGCCGCTTCAGTCAGTCGGCTCCCTGCCCCGCCCCTGCCCCCGCACGCCCCGCCCCCGGCACCACCAGCGCGCGCGCGTTGGCGTGCGTGTCGCGTCACTTCCGTGACGCTTCGGATTTCCGGGGTTTCGAGGCTGCCGGCCGGAAAAGGTGACCTAACGCTGGGGAGGTTGAGCACGGGAAAGGCTGGAAGGGTCCGGGGCTTGGGAGGTTGGCACACACCGAGTGACCCTGAGGCCATCGCTGGCGTGTCCGCGACTCGCGAGAAAGCCGCTGTGTCCCCCTGTCCTTCCTCACTCCATGCTTTCAGCTTCTGCTTGCACTAGCCTGAGGGCGACCAGAAGCCCCGAGGATGAGCAGGAATAGGTCGTCAGAAAAGAGGTCGGAGGGAGAGAGAACGCATGGCTGCCGGACGGTAAAGAGAGATAACAATCCCACTTGACAGTTGAGAAGCCACCTCACCGCCTTTGTTATCTCCCCGGGCCAAGAACCATCCGGATGGAGGAGATAAAGAGGAAGAATGAATAGAGAAAGAAAAAAAGAGAGCCCATGAGCCCTGCAAATGATCAACCCTGAACTATTAGACAGTCTCCTAGCTCTGGAAAAACCACCCTTCCTGAATGCTTTTTTCTGTCTCAATTAATGCCTGTCTTCACCTTTTCTGAGCCTTTACTTTTCTTTTTTTTTTTTTTTTAAGACAGGGTTTCTCTATGTCGTTTTGATGCCTGTCCTGGATCTCACTTGGTAGCCCAGGCTGGCCTCGAACTCACAGAGATCAGCCTGGCTCTGCCTCCCATGTGCTGGGATTAAAGGTGTGCGCCACTACCGCCCAGCGAGTCTTTACTTTTTTGTCCCTGGGCATTCAAATTTTGTTCACCTCTAGGAAGAACCTGGTCACCTAGGCAGGTGGTCCACAGAACTGACACTCCCGGTTTGCCTTCACAGATCTCAGAACTTTAAAAAGGATTCGAGTTTGAACCTGAAGGAAATTAATCCAAAAGCAACCAGGCTGTAATCCCAGTACTGGGGAAGTGGAGACAGGAGGATCAAGAGTTCTCCCCTGGTGTTTCTTGGCCTGGGTGATGTCGACCCTGTCTGAAAATTTAAAAGGTGGAAAAGGCCAGGTGTGGTGGCATATTACTCTAACCTCAACACTTGGAGGCTGAGGCAGGAGGATGACAGCATGGAGCTACAGTGTAACTTTGTCTCAAAAAAAAAAAAAGTGAAATGAAAGCTGTTGGTGTACCTTCCTCGCCAGAACACAGGTGGATGATGCGGGAATTTTGAACGCAAGGGATCCTGATGGTCTAGTAGTATTTGACACAGGGACCTAGGATGGTGGACATGGTCAGATTGGCCTGGAAAATGGCTCCAGGCTGGATGTTTAAGGTCTATGAAGATTAAAGATAGGGGCACTTGTAGGAGTGAGGTGAAGGCAAGTTTTACTCAAGAGGATTACAAGTAAAAAAGAGGGCCAAAGAGCTGGCTCGGTGAGTAAAGACTTGCCATTCAAGCTTTGAAACCTGAATGCAAGTCCTGGAACCGGCATAAGGGTGTAAGGAGAGAACCAACTCACAGAGTTGTCCTCTGACCTCCATACAAGTGTGGCACAAGCCTCCACACACAATAGCCGTAATTTTAAAAAGTTTAAAAAAGGAAAACTGAGGGAGACTCCCTATTTACTCCAGAAGAAAAGTAACACTTTCGGCATCAGTGAGTGAGGGCAGGCTTGTTAGAGGCCGTCCTACAGTTTAGTCTCTATAATCAGCTACATCAGAGAGAGGGGGAAAGGGGCAGGCCAAGCAGTGGCGGCACATGCCTTTAATCCCAGCACTTGGGAGAGAGAGGCAGGCGGATCTCTGTGAGGTCGAGGCCAGCCTGGGCTACAGAGCGAGTTCCAGGACAGCCAGGGCTAAATAAGTTAAATAAGTTAGCCAGTGTTATACAGCATTAATAGTGGAGGCACAAACAGAACCTACTTTCTTTTTTTAAAAATTTAAATAACATTTTTTTCATTCATTTTACATACCAGTTTCCCCTCCCTCCTCTCCTTCCTTCCCCCACCTCCCACCCTTGCTTCCCATCTACCCACTTCCCCATCCACTCCTCCTCCATCTCCATTCAGAAAGGGTCAGGCCTCCCATGGGCTTGAACAAAGCATGGCACATCAAGTTGAGGCAGGACCGAACTCCTCCCCTTGTGTCAAGGCTGGGCGAGGTAATCCAGCATGGAGAACAGGTTCCCAAAAGCCAGCTAAGCACCAGGGACAGGTCCTGATCTCACTGCTAGGAGCATTACAGAGACCCAAGCTACACAACCATCCCCGCACACATGCAGAGGGTCTAGGTCAGTCCCATGCAGACTCCCTAAATGTTGGTCCAGAGTCCATGAGCTCCCACGATCTCAGGTCAGCTGTCCCTGTGGGCAGAACCTACTTTCAATTCCCGTTGCAGGGATGTTAGAGGCAACAGACCAATGTTGTCCGCCTTGTGACATTTTCTAAAAGCCACACTTGGGTTAAAGATTCTGTGGACTGATTTTTGGAGAGTTGGAATGTTGTAGATCCATATCTCAGACTGTCTCTAGGTCTGCTTAGTAGTCATTTATGACTCACTCTGTCTCTGACTTAATATCCTTTTGACCATCGGTGAAATCCTTGGAATGTATTCGTACATGCCAAACATAGCTTCCACCCAACCAAAAGCCGGGAATGTAAACAGACAGCGTCCGAAGCCTAAAGCAGAGATTTCCCCACTTTGCTCTAACTCCCTACCCAGTGTCCCCACCAATGTGTTTGGCAAATGCATTCGTGTATGATTTACTCAGTGACCATGAAAAGTTCACATATGATGGTGCATGCCTGTAATCCCAGTACATGGGAGGCCGAGGCAGGAGGATCGGAAGTTCATCATCAGCTACAGTGAGTCTGAGGCCAGCCTTCTCTACATGAGATCATATCTTTTTTAAAACAATGTTCATGTAACCACTGCCATGGTGAGTACATTGTCTGGGACCATCTGGACAGTGCTGGGAGGGCCATGGTCACTCACATTTGGAGTGAGTGCTGTTCTGTGTCCACAGGTTCAATACAAGATGCCAGGTATGGTGCACCCGAGTGCAGTCACCAAACCCCAGCCTGAGCTGCCATCCCTGATTTCAGCCTGATCATTTACCAAGTGGGGATTCCTGGGCTCCTCCTCAGCTTTTCCCTCAGTGCCTACTGTCGGACAGATTGTAAAACAAAGGTGCCTTTGCTGAGGAGTTACATTCTAGGGGACAGGTCAGTGAGATGGCTAGCTTGGTAAACACACTCAACCAAGCCCGGTGACCTGAGTTCAATCCCTGAGACCCAGACGCTAGGAGAGAACTGACTCCTGCGAGTTGTCCTCTGACCTCCATGCATGTGGCATGGCATGCACATGTGCAAGCACACACACACACACACACAAATGTAATGTTCTTCTTAAAAACATCTGGGCATGGCGTAAACACCTTCACTCTGAGCACTCAGGGAAGAGGCAGGAGGAGTCCTGGGAGTCTGAAGCCAGCCTGGGCTACTGTAAATTTCCAGGACAGCCAGAGAAATTGTGAAACCCTTTCTCAAATTCAACAAAATTTTATTTTAAAATTAAAAATAAGCTGGGCATGGGGGCACACGCCTTTGGTCCCAGCACTTGGGAGGCAGATTCAGGAGGATCTATGGGAGTTTAAGGCTAGTCTGGTGTACAGAGAGAGTTCCAGGACAGCCAGGGCTACACAGAGAAACTGTGTCTCAAAAAAAAAAAGTAAACAAAAACACTGTTAAATTCTAGGTGGTGGAGTCAACAAATTTACATTAGCTGGTGATGTGTGAGAGAAAATGATACAGGGAAGGGGAAATAATGCGATGGGGAAATTTGCCTTTGGGGACTGGCAACCATAGCACAAGCTGGTAATACTCAGGTGGCTGACGCGGGAGAATTGTGAGTTGGAGTCCAGCCTTGACTGCAAAACAAGACTCTGTAGGAAGGAAGGAAGGGCGGTAAGTGGACAAGTCCAAGGTCAGCATGGGAAGGAACTAGCTGGAGCATGGACCCTGGAAGTTCTGACTCATTGAGGCCATTAGTGGAACAATCTACCCATCATGCCTTTATCGTTCCTCTGCCAATTTTGATGTTGCTTATTGATTTAAAGGGGAAATGATCATGCTGCGTACTTTCTGCTCCAGTCACGGATGGAAACCTGTTACTAAGTTACTATCTCATATCTTAGTTAAAACACTGGCTTAGTACCAAAAAGGATTAATCTAGATGTGCTCATAAACTTCCATTGCCCGGTCTATTTTTTAAATTTAATATTTATGGGTGTTTTGCCAGCATATGTGTCTGTTCCACATGCATGCAGCGCCATCAAAGGCCAGAAGAGGGCATCAGATTCTCTGGGACTGGGGTGATAGATGGTTGTGAGCAGCTGGGAATCGAACCTGGGGCCTCTGGTGGAGTAGCCAGTGCTCTTGACCGATAAGTCACCTCTCCAAACCCCTACCCCATCTTGTCATTGGTGTGATTACAATGTCTGAAGGTCCACATTTTCTTGTTTCATCTTACACTTGTATCCACTGGCTCCCTTTTTTCCTCCAATTCTGTGTTGGTCTAAATCACAAGTTGGGTAGGAGGGAAAGGGATAGAGAATTATCTTGGGAAAGAAGGTAATACGGAGTTGGTCTCATGACTTCACCTGGGAAGGCATGAACAAATGTCTCTTCACCACAGATGGGGCACAGACAACAGACCAAGGAAACCGTCCCATCCAAGCCTGCCCTGCTGAACCATTGTGTTTAATTAGGAATACTCACAGTAGCACAGACAATTTATGGACAGCTACGATACTAAAGAAGGGACCCACAGCACACCCTCAAGCATTTTTTTTTTTTTTTGAGACGGTATCTCTAATATCCCAGGCTGGCCCGAAGCTCATTAGATAGCAGAGATTGATTATAAACTTCTGATCCTCCAGCCTTCACACACACACAGCCTCTTGGGGTTACAGGCATGGACGGGCCAGCACACATGGCTCGAGGCCTGTCCTTGGCTGTGGCTGACATCGTATATTGTGTTCAGTACAGTGTACTATTTCTCCCAAAGCCAGAATTCAGGGGCTCAGGAATTAAGGGAACAGAATTCAGAGTGGGCCACTGAAGTTTTGCCTCTTGTCCCCAATGACACCAAACTGATTCTTTAATATTTTAGATTTGGCCTCAGCTCTTTATTTCTCAGTGTCTAACTAGCAGCCCCTGCTCCTATCCTGTGACCACCCTTGTAAGGCACACAGCTATGTAGAGGGACACGCCCTCACAGGCCAGCTCAGCTAGGTCTGTAGTAATTCTGCACACGTTACTCCAGGGCTTTGACACCATATTTTTGGGACGAGGCCCTCAGACCAGCAAAGCCTCAAGTGTGGATGATGGATTATCAGGTTCCCCTAGTGGTCTTCCCGGGTCTGCTCTCAGAACAAACTCCTGCTTCTTGTGGCCTCAGAACTGCACAAGCGTCTACTAGAAGTCGAGGCTTCCCTAGCCCTTCCTTTACTTCCCCTTCAGATACATTTGTATTATGTCAGCCCTGTCTCTCAGCACTGTGAGGGAGGGGACACAGTGGAGAGGACTCAAGTGTCAGTTTTAG